CCACGCCATGCCCTGGGCCACAGCTGCCGTAGCTCGCCTGCCCCTCCTCCCGGCCGCGTCCTGCCCCGGCTCTGAGTGCCTCCCTAATGATCTGACCCCGCGAGGCTGCGGTTCGTGGGTGGGGACGCTGAGAAAGGAGCCGCCTCCGCCAGGCAGGGCTCCGGCGCTTCTCGCGCTCCCAGGCCCACCCGCGGGACCACAGGCAGAAGCAGCCGCGCGTCCGCGAAACCAGCGCCTAGCACCCCCAAGTGCAATCGCCAGCCGCATTTCTGAGTTAGTGTGAAATGTGATCATGGCTTTGTAGGGTCTGGGAGAAGCGAGCCCCCGCCCCCCCCCTTGCCGGGAATGGAAACCCCCCAGCGGCTGGCGGCCAGGCGGTGCCAGGAGAGCAGGCAGAGCAGCGGGAGTTCAAGTGCAAGGGGCTGGCGGGCATTCCTGCTTCTCTCCGGGGGTCCGAGAGGGACTGGCGGGGGGGGGGCAGCACCTGCTTTCTCTTGTCGCACCAGAATGTGAACTTACTATCGTGGACAGTGGCATCATTTCGAACCTTTCCTGTTCACACCCTATTTTCTGCGCCCTGAACTGCCCCGGGCTCCCTGAAGAACTCCTGTGGTGTCTGGTGCCTTCCCCAGGAATTCCTTCAATCTCTTTTGCCCGCTGGTCGGCGCCTACTCATCCTCGGGGTCCACCGCCTTTGTCGATGCGCAGTCCCGGCCCTTGGGGTAATCAGCCTGAGAAATTCCTCTCTGCCAGGAGGTGTGACTGTGGCCCCCAGGGGAGGGGCGGACAGCCCAGACCCGGTGGGTCGGGAGGCGGACCAGGCAGGGGCCCTGGATGTTACCCGCTGAGGGAGGGGAGGGGGAGCATTGCAGACGCAGGGCACAGCAAGAGCAAAGGCACAGACCACTCTGGGGCCGCCAGGAGCTGGGCACAGGAGGGCAAAGCAAGGGCTGTGGGGGGAGAGGAGACTGGAGTAGAGGGCAGGGCTTGATGAGTGGAGCCCTCCCCACCCTAAACTTGGATTTGATTCTTACTTGTAGTAAGTGAGTGACCCTGTAGCCTGTAGGTTTCCAGGAGGTCCGCTCCCGACAGCTAGTCTGCACATCTCATAGGGCTGGGTGGGTTGTATTAGTGTTACTTTAATTCCACAGAGGGCAGGGCGTAAGGAACTTCTCTGAGATCACACAACCAATCTCCTGCTGCAGGGGTATATAATCACTTGATTATACTCCATTCTGAAAACAGTGCTGACTACACTGGTTTGAGAAGGTAGAGTCCCTACCAGAACACCTTGCGCTTGGGAGACATGTGACGCACACTGCTTATGCGCTGCTGCTGATACGTGATCACAGCCGGGGAAATGCACGTGCCCAAAGGGTTACGGAAATACTACTGCATAACACACTTTCCCTTGTTCTTCGCTTTCTTTTCTGATGTGCTTTGATGCTTGGGTTTTTGTTGTTGTTGTTTTTTCTGTTTCTTCCGTTTATAGTATCTTTGTAACTTTCTCTTAGAGTCCAATTCTGCCTTTAAGTAATTGCATAGTGATAATATCCTTCCTGCATTTTATCGTGTTTTATCTCTTTTAATGAAGGAATTAAGGATTCTTAAGATTTTATGGCAGCCTAGAAATCTCCTGAATTCCTTCTCTAAGAGCCTTCTAAGGAGCAATCTTGACTCCACTTGGACACCACCCAGGACAGGGAACTCAGTACTCTCAGGGGACCCTCATTCTAATTTTAGATCATTTTCAAGGTCTGGGAAAGACTTCCTTTTCTGAGCTGAAATCTTCCCTGAGTCCTCATTCTTTCGCGCATTCACGCATTCCTCAAAGGTTATTGGCACCTATGTATAGTATTTAGTGCTCTTGTGGGCCTTGGGACACAGGAATGAATTAGCGTGTTCTTTGCTCTCCCTCCCTTAGCTGATTTTCTCTAGAACGTGATGTCTTTTTACCCTTATTTCCTAACAAACTACAAAGACCCTTTGCAAACATTTCCTGGGTTGGCTTTTTCTGGTGTTGAAGACAATCAGTGGGGAAATCTCCCCACATATCTCAATCACAGTCTCGCCACATACCCAAAGTTGTGTTACTGTGGCACTTGGGTACCGTCTGTCATGTCTTGTTGCTTAATTAAATCCACATTTGTTTTGAGTGTTCTTTTTACTCTCCTATTTATTATGCATGAAAGGATAAAAACAAATGAGGAAAACATTTTATAGTTAAATTAGTTTGAGGGAAACAGTCCTGAATTATAAGTCTTTATTGTTCAGATAGCGTTTTATTTCAACGTAATTTTTTGTCCAACAAAACCACAAGCTTGTTGGTTATTGCCACCTCCCCCCAACACTTGTCTTTCCCCCAGAGTTTAACCTTGGCCTTGGATATTAATTTCTAGTGCCTTTCTCTTGAATTCTCTTGTTTTCTAATTCAAGAAATAACAATAACACTTTATATGCCTATAAAGCTTCACATCTTTTCAAGATCCTTTTATATTCACTAGCTCAGCACTATTCAGAACCTATTCATGCGATCTGGCTTTTCTTTTCTCTTTTTACTGCCCATGATACCATTTGATAGGTACTTTCTTATGACTGAATAAAATTTTGAATATAGGTCAATTTTATTCCTGATGTGAATGATATTGAATCACAAAGTGTTTGGTCGTCAAGTAGGCATTTATCATTGTATTAACAACAAGCCCAATTATTCCCAGATGAAAATGAAGTTTCGTAAACTTTCTTTTCAGCTACAGAAGGCTTGGTAGGGAAAACTGCATGAGTATAGATTAGAAATTTAAAAATCCATTTGTGGAAGGTTTCTGTGGTCAGATGGAAAGCAAAGATTTTTTTACCTGAGGGTGAGCCATTGGTGAGAGGAAGTAAACAGAGCTATAAAGTTAAACATCAGGCATTGGAAAATCCATCAGTCAATTAATAATAAGCACTTACTTGCATTAATGGCTATTCCATAGGCAACCAGCTTGTGGAATTGGAGGTTTTTGTCTAACTGCCTTCTCCATGGTCCTCTGCAGCACTAGGGTAACAAAAATAAAAGTCCTGTTTTGGAAAATGTCACAGCGATGACAGTTGTCATAAGAGATAAGAGGAGGACCCACATTCTGCCTCTAAATAACTGAAGGTGAGGCAATGTGACACACAATTAGTGCACATTAATTAGTCAAACAGGCAAAGCCAAATGGTTATCATTGGTTTTCCTAAAATTTCAACTCAATAAAAATGACTGAGTTAGTAGTACACTGGCTATAATTCAAAACTCTAGAATAAACCCGCTAATATTCATGCTCAGCTTATTTGGAAAATGATGATGCTCATCACTGTCATTGATGTGGTTTAGTAGCTTATAAATTATTCTGTATTATACAAAGAAAGGAACTATACTCACCTACATCTCAATATTCATAACATTATGCTGATGAGTATATAATAAATCACGTTGTCTACTGAAAGTAATTGAAGGCCTCATTTTTCTGTGCAGTGTGTTACTCTGTTTAGCATGAGCCACGGTTAAGTACCCAACACAGTGCAATCAGTATAATTAGGAACTGTTCCATTATGTCCGGTAGGGGTTAAAATACTCATAGTAGAATCTGTGTACTGTGATTGTGCTTTCTGGTATTGAGAACTCTTATGTTTCTGCAGTGATATTTGGCTCAACTGTGTATTTGTCTCCTTTCAATCAGAAATGGTAATAGTTCAAGCTGTTATAATACTTCCATGTCGGTGAGTGAGGTCAATTTTTATGAGCCCTGCTTTTCAGATGGAGCAAATGCATCAGGGAAAGGTGGAGCGATGTCCATTGTCATGCAGGGAGTCAGTAGCAAAAACAAAAGTCAAGCCAGATGTACTGATTTCTGATTTTCAGTTTTAGCTATTGTGTTCTCTTACAAAGAAACAAACCTTATTCTAAACAAGATGACTGGGAATTTCACAGTAGAGTATATCTCTATTTTCAATGGCACTTATGTTAGTCATAACAACTAAAATTATTTCAAATAATTTAGTACTTACGATACTTGCTCCTCTTATGAACGAAATGAGGTTTCGACTGATTGGTAATAGAATTAGCATGCAGTTAAAATTCAGGCAGACTGCAGATGCTCTTGCCCACGCCAGTGTTGACTGTATATATGTAAAGATATAAGAGACACAGTGAAAACAGGGAAGCTGGGAAAAGAGAATGCATTTTGTCTTCTGAAAGGATAATGTATAGTCACCAACTCTACTTACACCCAGAATAACTCGTGTGTAAAAGAAAGACTCTTCCTCTTCATACCAACAGAAAGTGTTGATAAACAGGTACAAGTTAACTCCCAACCAAGAGAGCTAGAGTAGAATGGAAAGAGAACCAGTCAATGTGATCTTCAACCTTTTCTTTGCAAAATCACCTGGGGTTCTTCTTGGGGTTCAGTTCAAGTGAAATGAGCTTCTCAATATTAATCAGAATTAATCCATGCAATTATTTTATAGATTAGTTTTGAACAGTAATTATATTGGTAAGAAATCATTACCTTTATAATTATAAAAAAGATTTTAAGTACGTATGGGTATTCTTTAAGGAATTTTATGAAAGTACAAAATCTTCCTAATCAGCATTGCTGTAATGTTTTAACTCAACGATGTGAAGGTGGAGGAACTCTTTAAAAACAGCTCAGAAGGTACTCTAGAAAAATGCCAATTTCATAGTCTAATTCAAAGACTTCATTTGATTTAGAGAAACACTCATAGATTATGCAAAAACAAACTACTTGACTTTAAAAATAATTAAAAATAAACTCAATCGGAAAACAACTTTATATGATTCTGCAAGGGTAAATTAAATATATCTACTGAATGTTTTCTAACAAGTTTTTAGTCTTTTAACCAAAGTAATACTTGAAGCTATTTAGCATCCCTATACAAGTTATTCTGAAAATCAAAGACTATTCAATATATATATTTAAATTTGAATAACAGAAATGAAACTTACTACTAATACGACAGAGAGACTCTCATTCAGAAGCCAGCACGCCATCACACTGACTCTGCTCTTTTGCTGTTGGCAGATTATTTCTTTCATTCACCTGAGTTCTATCCTTAGTCAGGGCTCCTCTGCTAAATTCTTACATCTTTATGTCTTAGGAAGCACCTACCGGGCGCAGCTCTCGAGGAATTTCTAATTAAGGACTTCTTGCCGAAGGCACATCACCGAGCTACATGCCTCATGACCTGCTGGAATACAAGGCAAGTCTCTGTCTAATGATTCCTTCCTTCAAAGGTCTCATAAGCAAAGAGAGCTCATTGTATTAAATTATCCTCGTGTACTTGATACCCTATTCATTTTCTACATGATTGCAGTCAAGACGATAATAAGTCTTTATGTAAATTTGAGAAATAACCTAACTGCCGAAGGTTAGATACAGCAAAACACTTCACAGGAGCTTTCTCTACTTTGTTTATTTTCTCTCTTTTACTTCCAGCACTGCCCCCCCCCCCGCCTTTTTAAAAAAAAAGCTCCTTTAAAACATTAAAGATCTTTTAAAAAATCACATACAGGAAAACTAACATAAACCTAAAAGTGTGACTATGAAGAATGAAGTAGATTATTTTTTGTGGGTTTAATGAAATAAATCCAATATTTCTTAATCCCACTTGGGGCACCCATGAGGTAAATGAGAGTATCCTTTGATGCTTAGATCCCAGGAGTGGCTGTGTGCGAACCTGACCATGCTCTGATTTTGCATGTTGTAGTTGTTAAATACAATGACTATGACAACTCTGGTAAACAAAGTTGTACCACTTGAAGCAATTTTCTCGCTAGTCCTGGCCCAAGTATTTTATTTAAAATTTTCAGACAATTAGGATGAAAATAGGAGGATATTTGAATCATTTGAATGATTGTCTAAGCTTTCTGTGTCTTCATAAGGTGAGTCTATTTAGTTGTTCTAAAAGAATTAACAATTTTTAAAAACCTGTCAATAATAATAATAATAATTAATTGACAATAATAATAACAACCCTAAACTTTAAATAAATAATCCAGGTACTAGGTTAAGAACTTTTTGAGTATTGTCCAATCAAATCATACATTAAGAAGTAGGTATTATAAATCCCATTACACAAATGTGGAAACAGACCCAATGAAATAACTTGTAGTAGGGGAAGCTGGTACTTGAATTCAGCTCTCTCTGACCTGAGCATCTTCATTTTTAAACACTATCTTATGAAGCATTTTACAAAGTATTAATATATAGATTTGTGTATCAAACATACTTAATATACAGATATTAAATTATTCCTTAAATTAGACGTATTTAAACCATAGGAATTCATTTAATTTAATTTATTAATTTCAGATATCTATGTTATTGTATTTGATTAAGTATGCTATTTCCATATAATGCCAATGAATTATATATTCTGTTGTATCATATGAATCATATTTTTTATTTTGTATATAAAAAGATGTCTTTAACATCTTGGGGGCCTTGCTGATACCGCGCAGGGACTACCGCTCTCAGGATAAGCTAATTCCTAGTGATAGAAAACAACTTGCATGTGAACACATCTTTGATAGGCAAGCAAACTAATCCAGAGCTCACAGCCCCAGTCACCTCCTTCATCAAGTTCTCACACACCAAGTCAGCATCTTCTCTGCCCTAGTGCAGCCCAGGGCCAAGTACTGGACAATTCGGGACCACCCCTCCAGCCTAGAGCTTATTGAAATTCTTCCAACTAGTCAATCGTAAGCTTTTCAGCTTGTCCACCCAGTCTTGCTCACTTTTCTTCAAAAACCACAATAAAGGCTGTCCCCGTGCTCCTCCTGCCTCCTGACTGACCCTGGTGCTTCCCTGTGTGGCCCTGAATGGGGTGGTGTGCCCCCTCCTTTTGGGAACTATTGGTACCAAACTCTTCTTTCAAGGCCGATATACCCATGTCTACCATCTTACCATACTCAGAACAAATTCCATTTTAAAACATCTATATTTCTAACCATCGGAACCTTAGTATCACAGGTTAAACATTTAGATAAATAAGTGAGCTTTTTACTTGTCATCCAGCCTTGAGTGTGTTACCTCTTTTAAAGAGCCTAGTTTTCACATTTGTTTAATGGGGCTAAATACATCTACCTCGTAAAGCCCATCTAATTCTCCTTCACCTCCAGTGCCCCGAACACACACTCATACACCCACCTACTTAACACACTCATGTACACTCACACACCAGACGATGGCTCTTTAGGAGAAATCTTAGGTTTGCCAATAAAAATTTAGCAAATTTTCTTCCCTTTAGGAAAATACATCTTTTTAAAGGAATTTCCCCCTCTAGAAATATGTAAAAGTAGAGGTATTTGGGCAGCATTAACCTGAGATTAGAGTGCAGTTAGTGAAATACCTTTAGTTGCTTCTTTAACAGTGAGTATTATAAAGATGCAAAGCCTTCACAGTCATTTCCTTAAACCAGTAATCTTCCATGATGAAATGATTTGTTATTTCTGAAGTGCTTTAGGATTTACATATCTTAGAGGCCGTATTCAGTTGGGTTATAAAAATTAATTCAGAGAGAATACACCTAGAATTTTATACTCCCGTGTCTATTTTAGATTCAGTGAGTGTGAGGAAGAGCTGGCATTTTCTAGCCTTCTGTACTTTCGCACAGTGTTACAAATGAGAGGCATAGATTGATGAATAATAATGTGTGGTCACATCTTTTGTTGTTAGTTGCTGAAGATATTTCTGGTAGTGAAAATAAAATTTAGAGGTTGAGGTTTGAAAACACATCTCTGCATGCCTCATTTTTATTTCTAAATGTGTTTATTCCTCTTTTGAATAGGAAAAGGTACAGTGTTAAACTAGAGCTATTATTCATTCATAATGTATAGAATGGTTCATCATTGCATTGTAAAAGCACAAGTCATGACTTAACTTCAGCATTTTTAATCATCGGTTTTATTTTTGTAGAACTTTCCGTGATATTTAGTTCACTCATATAAAAAAGGTGAACTTCAAATTATATTCAGATCCATTCAGAGCTCAACAGTTTTGTGCAATTGATGGACGTACCTTTTCCTCTCAACTTTTTTATTTTCACATTTAGGAATCATTCAGTAATGCCACTGGTTGGTTTACAATATTGGAATCAGACTTCGTAAGACTCAAGATATTGTATCATGTCACACGCCCGAGCCCCTCAGTTCAGCCTCTGGGCTGCTTCCCAGAAGCTCTCAGTTTTGATAAATAAGACAGTGCTTTTCCCCTCATTATTCTTAGCTTATCTGGTAGGCTCGGGAATGCCTATCATGCCTCAAATGTCTGCCTCAGGTTTTACTTCAGTGAAGGAATCTGTACAGATCACAGTATAAATCAAGACTTGTTTGAACTGGGCCAAGTTAATGGGACTGCACTTAAGGAGAGAGGAAATTGTACAGAATCTACTAGAGTTATATAAATGCTCAGAATTTGATCTAGTCTCACCTAATTGTGTTCATTGCTAATAGTGGTGCCCTTTTTCTCTCTCAGAACAAACAAAGTGAAATTTGCGTTTCTTGTTTCCAAGGTGGGGAGTCTTTCTAATTAAAGGGATGCACGCATTGGCTCTTACAGCCAACCGTCAAAAGATGCGTGGGTTTTTCCCCTCGTAAAGATCACCAATAAGAAACTTTCTGTAATGAGAGGAGGGAAGCAGAGCAAAGATGTTTGCAGAGACAGGCCAGTTGCTTGTCGAGAGGAACACAAACTCTGCATTGCCCATAGTCCTGGGCTGGATTCACTGCATTATAGTTTTAATTCTTTTCAGTTTCTTTGTTAAACAGTTGACCCAACAAAGGAACAGTTTGATCCTCAAGGGCAGGATTGATCGTCTTGCAGCCTCGGCTGCTGCATACTAAGACCCAGGTTCCCCGTGGGTGGAGTGGAGCTCCCAGAGCATGAAACTTAACGTTGTCAAATTCCCCTCTTCCAAGCATCAAACACTGTTTTTCCTTTTCCTAAAAGCATTTATATATATTTAAGCAGTAAATTGAAAAGAGATGAGTAAAATAAAGAAAAATATACAAACATATAATCTCAAATTCTTACCTGGTTATTTTGAGGAACATTTGTTGGGATAATTATGCATTTATATTAGATAAATCATATGTTGGATAAATTCCATTTTAAAAAAGAAAATAGGAATAAAACGCAAAAGACAAGAAAACCGTACATTAAAATATATCTGATTTTCAAATACAGTTTAATTAAGCATGTCACCAGTACCCTACCTTTTGCTGAATTAAGTTTCTCATATTTTTATCTCAGGAAACTGTGCTCTCTTATCATCATTTAAAAATGGCTCATATCCTAAACCTGGTTTACATTATCCAGTTCACACTTTTCCCCCCACCTATGACATCACTTTTATTTATCCAACTTTTATATTTTCAAATGAATTTTCACTGAGACCCCTGCAGGCATCCTAGGCACAGTGGGTGTTAGAGGTCGGATCCCGTCATTTAGATGCTTATAAAGTAGTGGGGAGGCGACAGGTTCTGTGCAACCTGAAGAATCCTTTAAAGGGGACTGCGTCCTGGAGTGGCAGAGGGTGCGCTCCTGGGGCGCCTGAAGCAGAGACATCTAGGTGAGGGCTTTGCTCGAGGCTGAATTCTCCCCAGAAGTGGATCAAGCTGGGCTTTGTCAAAAATTATATAGTGCGGAGAAGAGAAGAACAATTTGAATGTCAGCGTCTCTCTAAGGGTCAACTGAAGTAAGTTCTCAAAACACTGAAGAGCACACAGAAAGTACCCCGGCCCTCTCCCTGTGCTGGCTCCGGCCTGGCCTGCCCAGCCCGAGGGCTTCCGTGCCTCCTTCCGCTCCGTCCTGCCTGCATCTTCCTCCTGCTCACACACGTCTGCAACACATTCTGTTTAGCAAATCACTAACACCCTTCCCAAAGTCACTCGGAGAGCTGCCTCTGCAGGGCACTGACGCCGTCGCCTGACGATCAGTCCACAGGGACCAGAGCGACCAACTCACAGTTCTTCTCCCAAACTAAGTGGCACATTTCAAAGTCGCCTGTTTGGCCAGTTTTAACTTTTTGGCTGAG